AGGCTCATTTATGGACCAATATAGTTAGATCGTGGTACTTACTTGAGCCAACCCCGTGTATTGTACTTTAAACTGAGAGTTAGTGCATGTGTTGGTTATTTTGGAACAAAAAAACGTGTTTTTATTTAGAATGGTAATTTGGAATGATGCAATTAGAAGTGTACTTGGCGCATTTCTTCCACGATTGTAAGATAGTGTATAAAATAGCGAATACGTGAAGTGAACGTTGGCTTTAGTGTTGAATATACGGCACATCGAGTGGTGTTTGGATTGTTTGCTGAAAATGTGTTTTCTTTTTGAGCGTTGGGTATAATTAGTGCTGAGAATCACATGACGAATGACTCACAAGAATTGCATTTCATATTTGCCAAGAGTTGTGTTTGCATTCACTTCCAGCACAACCTCTACAGCACTCTATCACACAATCTCTCAATACTTTCCAATAGAACTGTACTCTTAAGAGCCAAACATTGCCTGTAATGATAATGTGCTGTATATTCCAGTTGTAGACAAAAACATTGCAAACACTTTATTATCCATGCATTCAAAGTCCGATGAAGAGGGCGTCAAAAATATACTGTATATTCATATTGTGTGTAATCTATGCCATAGATTCTATGGTAAAGTTTTTACCGCCAAATACATAGTATTTTATATGCTATCCAATATTGCAAAATAGTTGATTATGATAAAATAGCCGGAATAACATGATATGGCTAATCTAGCGATATAATACAGTACATACAATATTACAATGCACTTTGTAAGTTTCAAAATGGGATTTATTTTCTACCCATGCCTATTATTAAAAGCTGCCCCAAACTTATAAGTTACACTATGATAAATATTTAACAATATTCATCAATTGGTTTCCACATACTGTAAGACAGTAACTGTACTGTTCATGAAGTTTAGGATATTTTGCTCCATTTGATGGCATATTAGCATTTGGTGTCCACCAATCGATTGAGTGGTACAGTACTGAACAGTATATGTGCTGAAACCCCCGGCGCCACCACTACTGTGAGCCCCCGTCCCTATGACTATAGCAGTGATGATGCAATTGGAGTGCAATCGCACTGTTAGACCACGTCTACCACAAACAATGAAAACACAACCACTATAGCAGGCATACAGTGAATGGCTTTGGGAACAGTAAATCAAACCAAACTTATATTAATAGGGGAGTTGTCCTACAATACACCCACCCGTCATCTCCCAGTCTCTCTCTCTCTCTCTCTATAGTGAACTGATTATACACTATACATAAATACATTTCTAAAAATNTCTCTCTCTCTCTCTCTCTCTCTCTCTCTCTCTCTCTCTCTCTCTCTCTAACGATTGCCAACATCACAATGTAATGCACATAAAGTTTATAGAGTCGTTGATAATTGCTATGATATAAATGCAAACTTTGCTCTTATCGTTGCTATTAATAGTTTTGCAAATTTTCAGTCCATATTATATGGATTTGCATTGAGTTGGGAGTTGAAAGGGTGTGCCACCAACTGACCATGTTATCCATTTACACCTGAATGCTTTTTCCGTTTGTTTTGTCTACTATTTGTCTCGCATTTGTGTTTTAAAAATTGAAATAAAAGTCATTTTGAAAGTCAAAGTCATTCCTCTATGAAGTGAAGAGTGAGTGAAATGTCTTTATTTTGAAAGCATAAGCAGAAAGGGCTTTACCTCTCGTCTTACGGCTCATTGAATACTAGTCTTAAGACTATTTGCAGACATAACTCGTATTATCATTAGTAATATTACATGTGTATAGAGTGTAGGGGAGGGGTAAGGCTGGGCTCACAATTGCATATTAATACCGATAACATTCATTTTTACTAAAATACCCGATCCTTCTATGAGTTGAGCACATGATCAAAATACTAAACTTAAATATTCAAACTTTTTATGTTGTTTTAGTTTCCATTGGTTTCCACGGCTTTTAGAAATGTTTTGCAAAGAGGAGGGGAGAGAGAGAGAGAGAGAGAGAGAGAGAGAGAGAGAGATTTAATGTGAACTTTTTTGAAAAGGTAATTTAAAACTGTGAGTCCATGTGTTTTTAAATGCATTATTTGATGTATATTTTAATGATAATAAGATATTTCTATAAATATTATGTAAACTAAAAACTAAATTCTAACAAAAATAGTTACTTTTAAATAAATGTAAAACTTATGTCTTATTTTTAGTACTCAAACAGCGAAGCAAAATTAAAACCAGATTTTATATGGGGGTAGAAATTGTGCTTTCATTTTATAAGTATTTTATACGATAACATTCCAATCTCTCTCTCTCTCTCTCTCTCTCTCTCTCAGTTCTCTATCAAATATATTATCTATTTGTTTGATATCAAGTACTTTTCATTGAAGATTATTTTTATGTTGTTTTAGTTTCCATTGGTTTCCACGGCTTTTAGAAATGTTTTGCAAAGAGGAGAGAGAGAGAGAGAGAGAGAGAGAGAGAGAGAGAGCACAGGCCTGGCGTTACCGAGCGTTTGTGCCATCGGTTTAAATGGTATTTAAATGCAGTGCATGTGTGTATTGTATGCCTGTTTGGTAATGCATGCAAACAAATGCCGGCAATGAATTGCATGAATGACTGACATTCAGGACACATGTATTGGACTCACGATTTGTTTTTTACATTTGGGACAGAGTTAGTGAAAGAGCCGATCAAACCGATGGATGTTTCGGCGTCTCTTCGCTTCTTGTATTGTATTTGTGACCAAAAACTAAACGAAACAATATTTTATACTACGATTTGTTTTTTACATTTGGGACAGAGTTAGTGAAAGAGCCGATCAAACCGATGGATGTTTCGGCGTCTCTTCGCTTCTTGTATTGTATTTGTGACCAAAAACTAAACGAAACAATATTTTATACGATCGATGTCTAACTCCACACACTCTTCACACAAATGAATGAATGAATTAATTATTAATATGAATGTATTTGGATTATGATACAATTTATATCATTGACTGGCATTACATTTGCAGTTGCAATGCATTTGACGACCAGTAAGTATTGGATGTATTAAATACGAGAGTTTTGAAAGTTCATTGAATATGATTTGTATACGAAAAATGCAATGAGAATTGAATAAAACATTATTTTCAATGATTTCATTGATAAATGTGGGAACGGATTCAAAGGCACATCTGATTTGTTAACTTTCTATTTCAATATTCACTCATTTAATTGATTAGACAGTGATTTCCACATCTAATATATGAAACATTTTTTTTAAATACACAGAGACTGGAGATAAGGAAAGTGTGTTTTTATAACACAAATCAAATGGAAATATATTTTTTAATTGATATCTAATGTAATGATCAAAACTGATTACATCTGTTATTAAATTTATATATGAAATGAATTATTGTGTGAATTTCGGTCAACACAACCGGTAATAGAGGTTTCAAATCAAAGAGGCAGGTGTTTGCTCGTCAAATTTAAAATAAACAGGTTAAATTTTTGTTAAAGTGGTACAATATATATTAATATAAAAATCTTTACATAAATACATATCACATATTAGTCAAGTGATATTTCTCCCTCTCTCTCTCTCGGAGAATTTTATGATGGCTTTGATATGATGGGCAGATGTATATACATGTATACAATAGGTTACACATGATTGAGAATATTATAGTAGAATTCATTGTTTGTTTCACTATTGGATTTTGATCTCAACGACAGAAAAATAATATCCAGATATTAAATAAAAGTGGAAAATGTGTTGTGCAATAAGTTATGCCATTTATTGTATGTTATAAATTATAAATTATAACTTATAATAAACGTAAAGCCAAAGTATATTCATAGAAACAAATGTGTATTCAATGAATTTATATCTTAATGATTGCCAATCTTTACAGTGAAGTGCCTTTTCATACATCTATGGGTTATATTTGTTGGCTGTTATGCAATGCATCTCTTTATGCCTTTAAACCCTTCACTACTATTGGTATTCAGTGAATACTATTCACATTAAAAAGTCAGACAACGAGAGAGAGAGAGAGANTGGCATAACTTATTGCACAACACATTTTCCACTTTTATTTAATATCTGGATATTATTTTTCTGTCGTTGAGATCAAAATCCAATAGTGAAACAAACAATGAATTCTACTATAATATTCTCAATCATGTGTAACCTATTGTATACATGTATATACATCTGCCCATCATATCAAAGCCATCATAAAATTCTCTCTCTCTCTCTCTCCTTTCTTTGGTTGAGGCATTTGGCGCTCAAATACATGTCGTATTTCGTGGCTCAGACTAGTCTTACCACTCGATGTAATTCAAGGACACAAATAGTACTCACAGATACACACACTCTCTCCCTCTTTCTGCCCCATCTCTCTCTCCCTCACTATAACTATACACATGAGTAGCAGAGCCTGTGCTGAAGAGCCTGTGCTCGAGCCTCGAGGACATGGATCTCATGGAACTCTCATTGCAAATGTTTTGCAGTGAAAACTTTGTGCCAAAAACTACTAAAACTTAAGAGTCTTAACTCGAAGAGCGTATTGAATACTACGGATCGCATCCCCAATACATCCAAAACGGATCGACAAAAACAAAAAACGAGAAAATAATTTAAGAGTTATTAAACTTATTTATAATAGAAGTCATATATAATTAAATATAATGTAATTTAGATAAGGAGTCGCCTCTCAATGCACTTTATTCTGTGAACTAATAAAGAGATACTTCTAATGAGTGATAAGACAAATGCAATGTATTTCTGTATCCATTCAGTGTTGGATGTGTTGACGTTAACGTTGAATAGTGTAGTAAATCATTGAAAATTCCCAGAATATATGGTATATTCATTATTGTAGTGAAAATTCTTTGTCTATCATATGTGTGTGTTTTTATCACATCATAGTTAACACTATTACTCGTAGATTATTGAATAGTAAACTCATATAAATCCCTCATAACAAGTGTATTGCAATATTTGTAATCTCAATGACAAAGCAATCATAAAAAAAAGTTTTCTTTCCGTCCCCTCAAAAGATAGTGTCGTTTCTTCACTTCTTATGTATTAAATAGTATTGAATAAACAAAACATTAACTCTTTGTTTGAATGGATATAAAAATAAATTTCTAAATCAAATGTAATTCGCATTTTTTTTTCAATATCTTTTGTGTTGTACACCAGAGAAGGCCAGACACTTGATAAGTGCACATAGGGTTGGCAATCAGGGGGTCTCACGTTCCCTATCATTAGGTTTAGGTCTCTCTCTCTCTCTCTCTCTCTCTCTCTCTCTCTCTCTCTCTACAAAATATGATATTCTTTGTTAAAATTCTTTGTTTAATTCGTTATAATTCTTGTTATAAATATATTTTGCGTTAATATTTAGAGTTTGTATTCACATTAAATTCTGGGATTTTGTTGCTTTTGTCTCACAAACTATCCATTAATTAATACAATGAAAAGTGGGATATTTTGTGATATATGTGAACCCATATGTACTAAAAGGTCATCATTAGTATGTAATACAAGTGCATTAAATGTCCAAAAATATCATTATAAACCATTATAGACATAATTAGGAGTCATAATATAGCTCTCAGACCAACTCATACCTCGAGAGAGAGAGAGAGAGAGAGAGAGAGAGAGAGAGATGTGAACATTAGACGCATGTCTTTGACGAACGGCTTAACCGTCTTGTACTGACCCGTCTCTATCTTTGTCTGAAACACAAACAACACATTATATAACACATCCATCGCTACAACACATCAACAAATCAATGTATGTTTCATACAAATGACGGCCAAACGAGAGGTATAGTGAACACAATGCAAACACGTTTACCACACGTGGGCCTCAACTCATTGCGCTTATAACCAACAGATGGTATTTTCATATCACTTCCAATGCAGCCGGTGTTCACTATACCGGTCGTCGGCCGTAGTCATCGATAAAACAATTAAATATCTAAATATTTAGACTAAATATAGAGTGAATTAAATGAAAAGCAAATTAAATGCATATATAGTGTAGTGTATAAAGCTATATAACTAGTGGTGTGAAAGTGCGAACACGTGGTGATGAGTGCATACCTTAATGGTGTTTAGATCGATGGGCTTCTTGACGATGTCGAGGTAATCGGGGTACTGTTGAGTGGGCACGGGGTCATAGAAAGGCCAGGCGTAGTCCCTGTGCTTTTTGGTCAATAACTCGCGTATAATATCCAAACAGAATTTCATGGATTGGTTGAGTGCCACGCGTTTCGGGGGTTGAGTGGCGGCGGAGGCGATGGTCTGCGGCAGGTCTTTGTTGGGCCGCCGCAGCGAAACCCCGAGTTTGCTTCGGGTCACCATTTTTCGGTCCACCGAAGCCACGGCCGGCACTGCGCGCGCGACCGGACGCGTCAGCACAGGTGTGGCCACGAGTACAGCCACGGGTGTGGGCGTCGCGATGGGGGCTGAGGTGGGGATGAGTGCGGCCGTGAGTGGCGGTAGTGAGTGGTCATTGTGTTGGTTGGGGTCGTTGGCGGCCTCGATGGTGGGCCCCGCGGTGTCGATGGCGTTGGGAGTGGGCGTGGCTACGGGCGGGTCGGGAGTGGCGGCCGACTGTCCGGCGGTGGCCGAGGGCTGAGGACTGGCGACGCACTGGTGATCACTGGCGGCCATATTTGTCGCCACAAACTTTCGCTCAATGGGTATACCATTCACTGTACTATTCATTCAATGCTATACAACAACACTATTCACTGTTCAGTACACTCTCGTAGCCATTGTTGTGGAGTCACAAGCGATGTATTGAATGCGCAAACGTCAACACAGATGTGGTGTTAGTGTCGGCCAAACTAGTGTTGTATGGCTTAGTTGTAGCGTTGGTTGCGTTGTTTGGTTTGCGTTCGAATCCAACTCCGACTCCAATCCCGTTGCGAATGCGTTTCGCGTCGACCAGTGCTGACACTTATATACCACTCGATCGACACGACCTCTACTGCGCTACTCATGCATACACTTCTCACATAAGACACGTCACCACAACTTCGCCAATGCAAACATCATTGAATGCTTTCTCACAAATACAGTCAAACTTATTAAATAATTGAACACAACTTTATTAATTGCATTGAAATCGCTTTTATTGAATTGAACAAGGTACTCAAATGTTTGAATAGGGTCATTTATGGACCAATATAGTTAGATGGTGGTACTTACTTGAGCCAACCCCGTGTATTGTACTTTAAACTGAGAGTTAGTGCATGTGTTGGTTATTTTGGAACAAAAAACGTGTTTTTATTTAGAATAGTAATTTGGAATGATGCAATTAGAAGTGTACTTGGCGCATTTCTTCCACGATTGTAAGATAGTGTATAAAATAGCGAATACGTGAAGTGAACGTTGGCTTTAGTGTTGAATATACGGCACATCGAGTGGTGTTTGGATTGTTTGCTGAAAATGTGTTTTCTTTTTGAGCGTTGGGTATAATTA